TACACTTTTCATTTAGTGTCACCACCTTAAATTCTTCAAGCTTCCTCCTATCAGTGAGCACATCCAACGAGAATTTAACATAATTTGGCATTTGTTTCAAGGCTTCCACCCGTGGTATGTTTATATGAAAATTGACTTCCTCTTTCTTTTTATTCTCTGTGGAAAAGGAGGTGTTGGTATGTACGTTTTACTCTCTTCTTCATTATTGACTATCGTTTGCGTTTTAGGAGACTGTACTGTTTTAGTATAATTTTGTTTTGATCCCTCTGTTTAGCCATTTACTCCTTTCTATGCTATATATCAGCTGCTTCTTGGGAGTAACTATCATTGTGTTCTTTAATTTCACCTCCCCTACTGGGTATTTCTTTCCCGCTTCTCAATTCTATTGCTTGACATTGCTCCTTGCCTTTTGTTTTTGGTGTTTCGGTATCTGTTGGCAGCTTTCCAAGAGATCTATTCCGTAACTCAGTTGCTAATTGACCTACTTGGATTTCTAAATTTCATAAGGATGCTTGCTGACTATGTATCACATCATCATTTTTGTTCATATATTCCTTTATTAGGATGTTCCAGGTATGTATTAAGCTTCTAATTCATATGTTAAGGTTTAAAAATCTAGGGTTTATTGAAGGTGGTGTTGGAAGATGTGAGGTTAAACATGTAAATTCTATCATTTTCTTTACCATTTATGTTTTCTCAAATTTGAATTCCACCAATGAGAGTCTTCCACTTGTCAAACATCCCATGGTTGATCATTTTGGTAATTATCCCAAACTTTTTCTTTAATTATTAATTCTTAATTTGGTAATTATCTAAAAAGATCATCATTTTATATCCAAAATATCAATTTGTCATCTAATGCGCTAGCTTCCAAATAAGCCAGTATTGAGTGGGCTCAATTTCCAATTTGGTTAACTATGGGGCCGTTTTCTCAAATTTTCAACTTTTAATGTCCTTTTTACCGTTTGCCACTTTTTAGGGTTATCTTTATGAATTTGGTTTATTACAAGGGTATTATTTGCAAATTGGATTTCATACGTACCCTTGGGTCTTGCTACGGGCTAGCACACATTCATGCTGCTGGAAACCAACAAAAAAAAAAAAAAAAAAAAAAAAAAAAAAAAAAAAAAAAAAAAAAAAAAAAAAA